ACAGAGCAATACGGTTCTACTCTGCAGCTCTTTTGCACTAGTCTGTCTAACTTCATCACCTCCCCCCTTTGAGAGTTCAACACTGGCTCTTTAGCTGACAACTTAAATGGGTCTTGAGGAGGACAACAAAAACCATTTAAAAAGGCAGCCTCTGCCACCGGGGAGGCGGCTGTTGAAGCCATTTGGGAAATTAGCTGAACAGCGTCAGTTCTCAAAGGCCGTCCGGTGGACAACCCTGCCGGGTTTCTTCAGACTAATTTAAAGCGATTGTGTCTTAAGTCTTCATTTAAATTGAAATGTTTTGGGTGAGTTTTAACACACTATCTTAGATTGACAGGCGTGGTACTGAGGCTCAGGATCCCTTCAGGCCAAAGATTTGCTCTTTTATGCAAATTATGAACTTTTGGGGCTGGATTCTAACATTTAAATTAGTCGCCTAAGAATTCATTCCTGACAAAGATCCGATTTTCACTCAGTCCCTTTGTGTGTCCCTTTGTGTGTCCCTTTGTGTGTCCCTTTGTGTGTCCTGGGTGGATTGGAAAGGTCTAAATACAGACTGACTGAGCATCAGCTCACCCTGCATGTCAATGTCACGGAGCAGAAAGGTCACTTTAAAGGGACTTAATCATTATGCTCTGACCAATATTTAGCAATATACAGTTAAACATGTTTGTTACGGGGCCCTTATACGCAGACATTATGTAAGATAGTGGTTGAAACTTTCTTTCAAGCACTGCAATCTGCTCGTTTTTCCTCTGCATGTTGATACATTTTTAAAAATCGATGTAAATGATTTGTAGGTTGGCGTTAATTATTAACGTTGTATACAGAAATCTAAGAAGAAAGAAATGGTGTTGAAATAACTGTATTTCTGTCCTTTTTTCCCCACTAACTGAACATGTATTCATTTATTAAGGACGAACATCACGCTCACATCAAACATGCAGAGCCTAGAGATTGCACGGCTCACGTCTTACATTAAGCCATCATACATATTTTGTTAAGGCTGCTTTTCAGTGCGAAGCACAGTGTCCGCTGGCCAATGAGGCCGTTTTATAACTGACAGATAAACCTGTGCAGTGCCAGTTTACAACAAGAAGCTGCATTACTTTATTGTATTATATTTATGTGGAAATAATATAAATATGCCATTATCTTGTTTATGTGTAGACCACAGATATTGGCCTGAGATTAAGTTGTGGTAAGTAATTGTAAGTTTAATCACAACTGTAATATTGCTGAGAATGATTACTTTTGATATTTTTGTCATCAATCATTTTTAATAATGGTTTTGTCGTGCGAGGAAAACTAGGACGACACTGGAGACTTAAATCAAAGCAATATGACAAAGTTTATTGGCAACAAGAGTATTCTGTCCTGCAGTTTAACGTGCACGGGCCTCAGGAAGTTTAACAACATGAAAAAAGGCACTTAATACAAAATGCGCTCGAATTATTTAGTATCAAAGAGCATTTTTGATTGGTTATTAAGATGAAGGCGGCTCCTGCTTAGAATCCTCGGAGAGCCCCATTGGAGCACAGGGACGTCCATCCCTCTGGGCTCCGGGTCATCACGCCTCCCATTGTTCATGAGTTCTACAGGATGTGTGCAAGAAAATAATAATAACAATAATAAAGAATGTTTTGAGCGGTAGGCGCAGTTCTATGTATGGACACGTTATTCTTAGAATGGGGAACAGGTGCTTCCTGTTGAACTGCATTTGACCAGATAGTGCTGCATCTTTTTGCAACATGTTTGTCTGCTGGTGTTGTGACTTGAAATGTTGTTTGTGCAATCCGGCCTTTCAGCGGCCTTCACCCATTATTACTATGCATTTATGGTTCAAGTGTAATTTCATTCTAGCGTTAGCGTGCATGTTTATATTTTAATACTCAACAGTTTGAAATTGAACAGCCAAAAAATGGATTTTAACATTAAACTGTAATGCGTAATATTGTCCTATAGAGCCATATGTCAAAATAAACCATGAGATATGCAGTAAGCCAAGAATGGCAGCTTTCCAATAATATTGCCAGTTGTCAGTTATTGATCAGTTGACGAAAACACAAAAATGTAAATCAGCATCTCTGGTATGAAAAGAAAGAAAAGATACCACATCAAAAACTTGATTCTGCTTAGAAGAGTCCATATTCAAAAACAAAAAAATATTCCATCATGATAAATCAGATCTAAATGTTCTTGCAAGGAGCAAAACTCGTCTCCCGCATGAAACTCGAACGTTTTAATGTCAATTACAGGCCGCCTACACCGAGCGTTGCAATGAAATTGATGCAGATCTCAGCGAGTAGAAGTCACTGAAGGTCACACATTACGTAATGTAAGTATGGCAACTTAAAAAGGCTGAAAAGTTGTTTCACCCCAGAAGACGTTGGTCTAAACTTACGAAATTCTCAGACCATCAGTTTTACACGCCAGTTCTACCTGGGTTTATTGCTCCATCTAAAACACAGATGGGAGAGAATCTGACCTTTGACACCAGCAGGCTGAAGCAGCCTTCTTTTCATGCCATGGCTGATGTTGGGCTCCACCACAGTGTAAGACCAAGGCTGACTTTCAAATGCAGTGTTCTGCTGCAGGACACAAAACCCCCAAAAGGAATGTGCCTTCACACCGAGGTGTGATCTCTCTCTGGGGGAAACAGCCCTGGGATCTGATTGGCCGAGCCACGGACACCACAGGGGTCCCCCCCGGGGTTTACTGTGAGTTCCCTCTCTCAGACTTTCTTTGCGGGTTGACTCTGGTCAGTGTGAGGTTAAAGACAGTATCTCTCAAGTCTTTTGGGACAGACCTCAGGTCAGTGTGAGGTTAAAGACGTTAAACGTGAGTAAGGATGAGACAACACTCCAAATCAACTTTCCAGACGGGCCTCAGGATGAAGGATTCAGGCCTCTCCAACCATTTTCTAGCTGCTTCAGAAAGAAATGAGTAAATATAAATTATGAGACATGATTTTTAGTTTGGTTATTAGTCCTTTTTTAGGGTGGCGCTTAGCGATCTATCTGATCTTATCTTAGCAATTATTAATAATTCTATTGAGGTCAATGATTTCATTTCACAATAGCTATTAACCAACACGTTACCCCTTCGTCGTGCCCGCGTGAGGCTGTTCCCAACACAGGCGTGAAAGGCGCCTCGGTCCAGTATTATGCAGACGCTCTAATGAACTCACTCACAAACTGCTATTTAAATAACATTTCGGTCGCCAGTAATATGAGTACATTTAAAATTTGACGCCTCATTTAGGATTCAACAAAGAGTATTCAGAAACAACAAAAAAACAGTGGATACTGTGCCGTTAAAAGGGTATTCATACAGTACACAGTTATTGTTATATTCTAAGAAAGATCCTGCAGAACCGTTTCTAACCTGAGTTTGGTCAACTATATTTAACTCCCTGACCATGAGTCATAGCTCGCCCTCTGGAGTGAATTCAAACACACTGTGGAAGTCGACCTTTGAAATAATTTACAGACACTGACTCTCTGGAGGAAGAGGCGCCCTTCTTTTCTGCTAGGAGTGAAAACTGGAGGTTCAGGCTCCATAATTTAACCCACAGAAAGAGATATCGGCTTTGCACTTGGCTGATAGGAATGCACTAGTATAGTTAGTTTTAAATATTGCAGTGAATTACTTTGCATAAAGCTTTAATTTTAAAGTAAATTAATGAAAAGTGTCTCACTGAGTGGCAGCTTCCACTGTGTCAGTTACAAGATAATATTCTATGCCATTTTTTATAACTGCACCAAAATCCTCTTCGCAAAGCTTATTTCTGGGACTGGTTTAAGATTACTGCTGATATTTCTAATTTGTTCAAATTTAACTAAAGATTTGGCTTCATGCCTGTGGATGGCTTTGTGGACAGGATTAAAAACGGATGATCATCTTTCTGTATAATCAGCTAAAATAGCAACAGAAATATGGCAACAAGGGTGGATCAAATCAATGTAATAGACCAAGAAACAGAATTAATGGACATGTTTCTCTGATCAACGAGAATCAACGAGATCTCATTAGAATGTTTAGTCGGGTCATTTTCAGTCTTCTTTTCAAACAACCCGTAGAGTTATTAAAAAGCATGCAGGGGTTAAAGCCCTTCTGCTTCCGCTTGCACCTGGAGGCCAGGTACCTTAATAGTAACTATTGGTTTCTATAAATTCAGACACAATTGAACTGAAGCCCAGATTTAAACAAGGGTCACTATCAAAGGTAACTATTTAATATGTAATTAAATCTTACCTGTGGATCAATGAAGTCTATTTAGAGTCCCAGAGCACTATAGTTGTTGGCCAAATTCTTTTCTTCTATATCCAAACATGATAAAGCCTCTGGCAAGGATAATGACATTCTCAAACGGTAAAGAGAGAGCTGCACTACTTTCTGCTGGAGTACATTTTCTTTCCCCTGTCGACTTCATATTGATCTAGTTGTTAATATGAAGGCCACTGATTATACAAGTGACGAACATGCCTCTCGGGTGGAATGATAAACATCCTCCATAAAGCAGACTGCAGTGTACTGCACTGTACTGCCTAATTGCTGTCAGCATAGTTTGGTCTACAGAGATTTTCACCTCCGTGCATGACCTTTATTCTCTCAAAATCTATTGAACCAGCAAATGTGATATTTAGGGTTCGGCTCCGGTGGCCTTTTTCATTTTGGATCTGAATCCTGCTTGGAAAATATACGCTTAAGTGGATTTACTACTACTCTGCTCCCTTGAGACGTTTTTGATTAGCAAAATGCAATGAGGGAAAATATTCCAGAAGCAGGGTTCCCCTTTTTAGTGCTTGCCAATAGTCACTTTGGCTGACCCGAATTTAAAACATGGCTATAATCAGTTTGAATTTGGACTGATCTATACCGTATATCTGAAAGTAACAGGCAACTGCTATAAAAAAAAGGTATTGTGATGAATCGGCCATGAGCCTTAGCAAATCACAGCACAGATGAAGTCCATTGCCACAAAACAGGCGACAAAGTGGTCTTTTATTGGGAGTTTATTAAATCTTGCTTACGCAAGATGAAACGTGAACAAGCCTCATTAGAGAGGATAAAAAAAGATGCAAACACCATCTTCCATTCAGGTTACCTTATGGGAAAAATCCAGTACACCAAAAAAAGGACATAATGGTGCTTTAGGCTCTCACAACAGCAGCGGCCCGAATTCAACCACCAGAGTACATCATTTCATAGGGGACCATAACTAACTTTAAGACAAAAAATACACAGAATTCATAAGAGGTGGGCAGCACCATGAAAACAAAAAGGGGGAGACCAAACAATACAAATTCTAACGGCAGTAACATCTAAAAACCTGGAATGAACACAATATATTTAACTAAATTTAGAGACACGGATGAACTTTAGTCAATGCAAAAATAATTTTATTAGACAAAATCACCTTAATCAGAACATCACATTTCCTAATGTTCGCTCTAACGCATCACAGTTGGCACAGTCCAATTTCCTGTAGGATTCCCATAAAGCAGATCAACTTCCTGTTTGACCTCTTTGTCACCCAGCTGGTCCCTTCCCACAGCACCCCGGGTACTAACCATTTGGTTATCATAACTTCAAAATGAACTTTAACAATTGTGCTATTTTTCTATAAATCATATTTTATCCAAGTGAAATTTTAATGTTTTAACCTTTTGCCAAATAACTAAGCCCATGCACCGACTCTGTACATTGACAATTAAAGCTCTTAAACCAAACCCATATAATGGCGTCCTTTCATTTATTAATGAAAGCAAAGATGAATGTATTAGATTTGTGTGGCTTAAATCCTGCCCATCACATGTATCCATCCCAGAACTTTATTCCTCACACAGTTCAAACAGGACGTTTCTCAAATGAAAATCCCATCTGCATTCATGGGTTTGAATTGTCATGAAGTAGCACACCAGCAACAATCCTTACTGTAACTAATGATCCACAGTCCGTTTTCTTTACTTCAGCATAAAATGTTTTATGGTCAATTATCTCGTAGTTGACTGGCTTAGTTTCTTTAAATAAGGATTTTCTGGGACATCAACGGAGTAAGTAAATCAGACATTCACCATTTACATTTCCCCTGAGGATATAGCTCGTTGGGTTGTGAGTGTGTGATTAAACGAACGGTGTAGGTTTCAGTTTTATTCCATGAACTCTTCAGCGTCTGTTTTGCTTCCCACCTGCTGGCCAAAGTGAAGCTGGTTAAACCCTGAAATAAACACCAACTGAGTATCAACTGTCGGTGTGATTCCCCACTGCAGAGAAATCTTTCAAGTTGGTGAACATTTCCTTTAAAAAACTTGACACATAAGTGAATTATTTGGAGCTCTTGGTGCTCCCCCGGATCAACAGGCAATTGACGCAAAACAACTTTCTTTAATTAGGCCGGCTTGACTCTGTTGGCAGGTTGTCGGCAAAGGTCAAGCTACTGCTCTCTTTAATGCAAAGCGGGGAAGAATTGACAGGTATTAACATATTAATAAGGAGCTGTTCTCCATATAAATAGGGCCGGTGGATCGCTCAATTCTCTCACCGGTTAAAGGTCGGCCACAGTGCATCTTTTCTGTGTAACGTGAAACCGAAAGAAAGCGGCTGCGGGAATGCAATGTTTGGACTGAAATGTTTTTCACTCCTTTTATTTTTGTAGATTTTGAAGTGGAGTTGTATTCTACGCTATAGAAGCTCGACACCATTACTTTTTATGCCCACACGCAGATTTATTTACATGCCAGTGGCACATTTCCTGGTCTGTTGTGCCACTTTCATGGAAGCTGGAGCATGAAATACATTTTACACGAGCTGAAGCTAATCCGTGGCGGCTTGATTAGGTGCTAAAAAGGGAGTAATTCACCAGATAATGAATACAACCACAAAAAAATGTCAATGATGACGCATAATCCCTCAATAATTGTCACATTTGGTCACCATTTTTATCCAATATCCTCCCTGTAATTCAGAAAAAAATCTATGTGGGAAATGATGCCAGTTATGTACGAATGCCTGAAAAAACAAACAGCGTTTCAGAAAGCAGCCAAAATCAACAGTCTTTTCCCTCAAAGTAAAAGTTTTCCAAACTCGCCGTGTGCTCCTAGTTTTCAACTCGCACAAGCAGTTGAAAACTAGGAGCACGTCGGCCAATCCAAGAAATAACAAAGTACAAAAGACGAGACGTCCCTCCACATAATTCTGAAAGTCTTTGAACAAAGAGGGATTTTGTGGTCTTTTTAAAGAAATGGACAAAGAGGAAAGCCGAGAAAGGGTCCAGGTTGACTATCTCTCCCCAACACACATGGTCAAACTCCCATCCAAGCGATGCCTGTGGTGTCCGTTGTCAGCTGGCGGAGACGCACCCGGCTGACATTGTGACAGCCGCTATTGTTTGCCAGTACTCAGACAGTTGCTTTATTATGGAAGAGCAGAGCAGCAGCAGCAGCAGCAGCAGCCTGTGGTCTCGCTGAGCTGCCGTGCAGATGTGACATTTAGCTGGCCGTTGCCTCGCAGGTTCCTTTTAGCATTTAGGTCACAATTTTTGTCACTCTCATTTATCTTTACGAGCTCACCTTGATGAGTTTCCCTGCCGCCCTGAGGCCACGGACCCTCATCTCCCGATGAAGCCAGCAATCGATTTTGAAATGTCGAATTCTGCATTCTTGTATGCGTGTGCTTCAGTACCTTGACGGCTGTGGAATTTTAATCAGCGGTTCATAATTAAAGAATAACATAACAAAAGGTAGATAACATGGTATTGCGATTCACTGCAAGCAAGAGAAAATGTCTCATCCTTGAATGTGTTTCTATGTGAAGTTCTGTTTATCGCTCCCAGCGACTGAGGATCAGCTGAGACATTAGGAATTCAGTTCTGAATTAGTTTAAAGCCGTAATCTGGCATGGGTACTCAAGTTATGAGCTGTACATTTTAAATGTCTCTGTGGATTAAAGATGTACTTCTCATTTATTTCCCACGTTTCCTTTGCTGTTTTTTGATTTGATTTTACAGTACAGATTAAGGTACACACAAAAACATTCTGCATCTCCTGCTTGTTCAAATTAAAATGACTACATATCATCCCCCCTCTTACAAATAAAGAATGTGTACAACATCAACATGTAGCCATATTAACAAAGGCTGCTTCAATTTGTGCCGCTAGTGGTTTGCAAACAAACGGGAAGGCACTGTGGTTCACTTGGTGTGTTTTTACCGAAGAGCACGCGTGTGGTAGATGATGCCCTCTGTACACGGATCACAGCGGCAGAAGGACTCGCTGGTTGGCCGTACGAGACGTGTGCTCCCTGGCAGGCAGTGAGAGGCGGCTGCTGGTGCCGTCGACGGTTAAATGCAAAATTTCAGAGCGAAGTTTCCTGAGTCCTGAGTCCTGGGGGGGGGGAAGGGGAGGGGGGTGAATGAGATTAAAGCTGAGCTATCAGAGAAGTCAAGCAGCTCATTGTCACATGGAGTGCATATTAAAGCGGGATTATAGATGTCACACACGTTAATCCTATCCAACAGGTGTTGGAGTGCTGATTACGTGAGCGGTTCAATGACTTTTTCCTCAACAATAGCTGCAGATAGTAAAGACAAATAATTTTTTCTCTTAAAATAATCTTATTTTTTATTGCTGGATATTGAGTTTTTATTATTGTGATGTGTTTGCACTTCACAAAAACTGCAAAGATGTTCCACCTTCGTACGACAGACTCTGAGCTCCTCCACAGGGAGATACACCGTTCTGGTCATCTGATAATAAAGATATTTGTGCATCGATGTTTATAATCTTGTGCCAAAGATGATCATCTACATCCGAGGTCGACTACCAGCACCTGGGTTTTGCCAGAAGCCCCCCCCCCCCTTGTTTTAGCATGTTTATGTTCCAACTGTATATTCTTGCTCCGAAGACAAAAACCTGTATGTGTGTCAACTCTGTCTCCGGTGTGCAAACACTAAATATCCTGCTGTGATGATTTTACACTCGTGTCGGTGCCCCTAACCCCAATATGTGCAAACAGCATTTAAGAATGCATGGATTCTGTTTTTCAACAAACACAAAAAAAAACCAGCTGTCCAGCTTTTGTAATGTTGCAGCACCGTTTCAAATGCAGGAGTGTGCAGAGTCTGTGCAAGTCATTCTTAAGTTGCAGCAGACGTCTCTCAGTCGTCTTCATTGTTTGGTTGATAAAATATACCCAAGCGTAATATATTGTCTCCATTACGACAATGTAGATTCATCATGAGGTTGTTATGGCAGCTTCCTCCTCCAGAAATAGAGGAACCTATCCAGCAAAGAGGAACTCAGGCTCAGCGAGGGCAATCCTCTCACTCTCTGGTTGTCATGGTAACATATTAGACACTAGGATGGATGCACATTTTTCAGTCTTATTGGCCTTTTTGCTCAAGTCTATTATAAAGTTTCCATTTGTGATTATTGTTATGCATAATGGTACATTTACACATAGCTATTGATCGCTGTATAGGGATATGTGTGCTACCTTGTCTCCTTAATATAGATTTCAACAAGGCCTGCTGCCAACCAGTTTGTGCCTATAGGGACAGGCATGTAAATAAGGCTTGCATGTCTCAGACAAGCTGTTTCCACATTACCAATTCTGCCATTTTGACAAGGGCTCTTGCAATGCACAGCAGGACAAATATTACACAAGCTACCAGATGGTGGCCTAACTGATGCATCCATGCCATAGGACAAGCACTGGCACAATCGTAATACTTTGTAAGAACGGCTGTTGAATGCATGGGGGAACCTGAGGGAACAACTACGCCAAGGAGGGCTGATGAATTTGAGAGCAGTGTAATACATCAAAACTGCACAAGTAAAGAAAGATACATCACAATAATAAACACAAAATGCAACTTTTTAACAAATCTGACATGCAAGTCACAGACCTGTAATCCGATCAAATCTGCCAATGTGAAGAAGTCGTGCTGAATGAGGCCCACTGGGTGTGACGCAGGTAAACACACACCTCCACACAACGCACACAACTGCTTTTCTTAATCCAAGGGGGAATTTATAGAACTCGCTCTCAATTCTGCCTGATACGTTATCTCACTTAGGACAGCTGGCTAACGGCCGTGTGGTTGCCATGGAAACATGCTCAATTTTTGACAGAGAGAAATAGAAAAAACAAAGCAGTTTCATCATTAGAGCACTCAGTGATACAAAGGAAACAATGGAAAGAAATATATAACAATTGTATGAAAGGCGGTTTTCTTTTTAAATACGGCGAGCTGTGTTTAAAGATGCAGAACTGTGAGCAGGTTTTTACGGTAAATGTACATTTTAATTACAGGAATGTCTGCAGGAGCGGTTAACTTCACGTGATCTCTATGAAACAAATGCATTACAAAGAGACGTGATTGTTCTGAAGTGTATGATTTAACTGTTTGATTCCTTCACTGTTGATTTGCCCGGAGACTCTGAAGTCCGCGTCTGAAAACAGCCACAAGGCACCGTGCCCGGTTGTTACAAATGAAAATATACAAATATGCTTTTTATAACCAAGAAACTCTCACCGAAACCTTTCCTTCTTTCTCTCTCCCTCCTCGTTCTGAAAGGCGGCCATTTGCAAAATAATGATTATGCAAATATCACAGTATTAACACTCTAGAATAGCCAGTGCTATTATTTTTGATCATTTCCACCTCAGACCAGTAAATAACGTTTTTCATATCTGCCACTTTGAATTTCTTTGGGTTGATAACAAAGACTGAAAGTTGTTGTGACGGCATCACGTTCAGGAATAACAGCAGTACACGGATGGTAGATGGTAGATGGACTGTACAGCACTTTTCTAGTCTTCCGACCACTCAAAGTGCTTGAACACTACAGGACATCATTCACACCCATTCACACACTGCTGACAGGAGCTGCACACACAGAGCCACCTGCCATCAGTAACTACCATCCACACACTGCAGTCGCAGCTACAGGAGCAATGTTGGTTAAGCGTCCTGCCCAAGGACACACGGACATGCGGGTTAGCCGGGCGGAATCAAACCCTCTGATTGGAGGACGACCGTGTCCCCACTCGCCCACGGTCGCCCCAATTAGACATCCTCTCCTATATCCTCCTTAAAAACGTACAAATGTAGCAGATTGTTTGAGAAATAAGTGGTGGGAGCGAACATGAGTGCTGCTTCTACTGGCTGTGAATTTTGAGCTCTCTGCTGTTACAGGTCGATTAGCTCTTAATCTCTCCTGTAAGTGCCATTAGAAGAGCTTTAAACCATCACTAAATGTAATGTCCTGCAGTACAGCTGCCAGTTTACTTATGTACTTAAGCATGTAGTGAACTTCAATGACATGTACAGATTCTGTCAGCATAGCTTAATCGATATTAGTATTTTGCACAAAAAAATGATTGGTTAGACATTAACTGATCAAGTTTAAAGGAGAAGTTCATGGTATTACGCTTTGGATAAAAGCGTCAGCTAAATGAATGTAATGTAAAATGCTTGACAAGGTTTAATGTGAAGGAATCTAGAGCTGCAATGATGAAATATCGACAATTTTTATCATTTCTTTAGAACCCAAAGATCTGATAATGATTTAGATCTTGCATTCAAACTAAACATGATGATCTCTACATTAACTGCTGTGAACCTGTTGATTAATCCCAACAACGTCTTAATAAAATTGCTTAATCTGGCTTTCTCCTGAAGTACTTTTGTTCCATGAAGAATCCCTTTAAATAGTATTAATAATATCCAGTGAAGAAGGAGTAATGATAAGAGAAAAGACAGAGCAAATGATGCCCAGTGGTTCAGACAGACCTTCACACAGAGTCACATGTAAGCTCGTGTGACTTCACCCCAACGTGGTGGACAGCTGCCTGAGATCTTCCATTATGAACAGCGTGGCGCAGGTGTCTGCTTCCTCTCTGACTCATCCTGGTAATAATCTGTCTGACTGGCTGTTATTTCCAGGCTAATTGATGTCTAAAAAGCAAACCCTGTCCAGGTCTGAGAATAGCTGCCACCCACTCATCTCGCAGGAATCCAAAGGGGCTTCTGCTCTCCTGTCAGTGCCGGTGCAATGTACAACCACAGCATAGTAAACCCGCATTAGTCGCTGACGCCGTTTATTCATGACACAACAGGTATTATGAGCAATTTGCCTGCAATTGTCTGTAAAACGTGATTGCAAAAAGAGGTGTTGCGGTTTTAAACAGGAGCACGACCTCCTGCCGTGAAAATGCTTCTGAGACTAAAGTCAGGCAATCCAAGAGGACGTCTGCCTTTCTCTGCTGAAAGCACACAAAGGAGTGTTCAAGGGGTCAAAGGTGGTCTGGATAACAAGTGGCTCCGCTGACCCTCCCGGCTGGCACTTTGGGCCGTGTTCCAATTACACCCTCACCTGCTCGCCCCTCTGACCTGCCCCCCTGTCAGCCTCTGATCCCTCTCGCTTGTCTTGCACCCATCTGCGCCACGAGTTACAATGGTCCAAACTGGAGCACTCAAATTACTTAAAATAGCCAACAACTGTACGTGTGTGTGTGTGTGTGTGTGTTAGTGAGAGGAGAGGGGGCCGATGGTCCGTTTTCTTGCGTCAGCCCCTCCATGGCAACCAGGCGTTGCTGGAGAGTGTTTCCTCTTCTCCTTTAAACGTTCCATGTCATTAACATCAAAGAAAACTGTCCACACCAATATCGCAAATGACATTTTGTCCGTGGCGTCACGGCGGAGCATCCTCACGCGCCGACTTGAAGTGTTAAACATAAATTAACACAGCACGCAAGTGACAGTAGAGACAACACTCAGGCTTTGTTGGTTCCCCGCTCTCTCTCCCTGCGTGCACAATGTGCAGAGTGCCTCTATTTACAAAGCGCGGTGTGTCAGTTATGACAGGCGAGGGATTTTCACAGTAGTGACCAAGCAGAGACGGATGAACGCTGCCTTTAATTATGACAAAATGAGGTGGTGCATTCCTTTAGTGTGGTAATGCGCAGATAGAGTCCAGTTTGCCTGAGACTAAATCATTTTTGCTACCCGGCTTCAATTTGACACAACCAGTAGCTCTTGACCCAAACTACAAAACTTCTAATGTTGAGGAAACATTTGGACCCCTCTCTTAAGGATCAGGATTCCCTTTGTGAAAGTCTAAAACTCACAAAATAAATGCAAAAATAAGCAGAAAATACCCTCAAGAGATTTAATAACACATAATAACATAAGGGTGAAATAGTGTAGACCTTCAAAATCTAAAAAGAATACACACAGACCAAGTTCTCAATAATAATCTCCATAATCAAATTTACCTCTCATTTCTTGCTTCATCCGTTGGATTAAATCCATCCATGTGATTGGCTTCTGTCCATGTCACTCCTGATCTGCGTTTTAGTGAGGTTCAATGAACGTACCATGAGAGGGACGGTGCAGAGAAAGCCACATGGCAGCAGCGATATCGGCCGTCTCGACAGGCCTAATGAAAAGCACCAGACTGAACAATTAACTGCTCACAAAAGAACTGTCTTTTTCTGTAACGCTTTTAAACAATTGCTTTTGAAATAAATAATTTCCCAGCTTGTCTTCAGTGAAGCTGAAGGCGCCATGGCGTCCCCATCTTCATGCTGCCAACACTCATCTGCCATCGGCCCGTCAGTTAGCAATCAAATTACACTTCATCTGTTTCCCCGTTCAGGTGCAGCTGTGCATGCTTGTCGAGGTGTGTGTGTGTGTATTTGCCAAATCCTCAAACTCCTCTCACGTCTCGCTTTTACCGACCAACAGTTCCAAACACAAAAGGTCAAGTTTATTATTACAGTCTGCAAAACCACCAAATATTCACTGTTTTGAGAAGCTAGAACTACACATTTATGGCAGTTTTGCTTTGAATGATCACTGCTAAATTTGTTTGTCAAATTATAAAGAGACCAGATTTTTCATGATATACGACACTAATTTACCTGAATATTTAAGTATGATTGTGGCACATTCAAAGTATAGCGTTTAAAATGGTCTTTGTTAAAATAATTGTAACACTGAGTAGCGATTGCTGCTCGTGATTGATACGTAACAGGGAGGATGTGATCTGCTTCGGTTGTTCAAGTTAATGGTGGTTATTTTAGCTCACAAATCACTGGCAGAGTCATCAACTTGCAGAGTGGACACAAAACCAGATGTATTTTGGCCTTCTATTAAGTTGCTCGCTGAATTAAGATTAATTAGCATACACCAGTCATTGCCGGAGTACAGCCCTCAATCTGCAGAGAGCAATCAAAGCAGATTAATTTTCTCCTGCCATTGAACTGCCTACAAAATTAAGATGAATCACTGTTTGCGATTGCAACTGAACACATCAGCTAAAAAGAAATTGCCGGCCAAATATTCTGTTCTTTGCTAGTAAGAAAGGCTAGATTGCAGATTTGCAGTTCAGTTAATCAATGAGCAGGTCGGGAACACAAGCAAACTGACGAGGAAAATAAATGATCTCATTTTGATCTGTTTTATTTTAGCTGATGCTGATCTATTCAAGCATGCAGCAATCGGCCCTGATAGGGATCATTGAATTATCACGTCTTGAAGATATTAAATTGAACCTGAAAGCGAGGAGCGGCGATACGTCTCCCTGCATGCTGCGGTCCTCCGAGTGTTTGGGCGAGGCCTGTGTGCAACGTCTGTCTTGTGTCATGTTGAGTTAATGTGATTCATGACAAATCAAATTGAAATCACCTTGCCTGCTTTTTCCAAGGGATCAGAGAAGGAAAGATGAGTGAGTCCGTCTCTTCCTCCCCCAACCAGTCTCAAAAGGGAAACACACACACACACACACAGACAAATGCACAAATGAAGAGAAAGACCGAACACAAACCCTCGGCTGCTTTCCATATGAACAATTGACAGATGGAATCAAACAGTGAGATAAGATGAAAGGCGAGATGCAATATGTCTGTTCTCATGAGTGTGCGTGCGTGCACGATCAAAGCTAATCTCGCCTTTCCTCAAGGCGATCCTGAAAAAAACCTAGTGTCACTGTTGGCTCAGCGGAGGGTTGAGTGCGAACGCATCGCTATGATTTGTTTTATTCTTCAGATCCAAGAGAAAATACGACAAACAGAATCCCAATGTAAAATGGGAAAATACATAAGTCAGATGTAAGCAATCACTTGCCAGATTCAGGCAAAATGGATGTATTATATTATTTATTATAAAATGTGCAAATAAATGTTGATTTAAGTATTGAAGGAAAATTAAGGGCAATTCCCTAAAAGACAACAAAGCAGAGGAAGGAAGACTTTAGCAGACTGGAGGAATTCAGCCGAGGATTTCAGGAATGACAACACCTGTTTTGGTGTCTCTGCATCTGCAGCTTAGAATGAAAAACATTCCACTCAAGATCTTTTTTTGATTGAAAATCAAACATCCTTTGACTGCTTTTTTTCTGTATTCTGTGTTCTTTCTTGTGATCTACTGAAATGAGATTGTTGGTTTCACAAATGATGCTCGGGTTGATGATTCATGCTTGGTTTAACCGCTTTGTCGTGTGTAGCCAAACTCAAATACTGGGTGGAATAACAATGGTTCCGCTGGCTTCTTTGTTCTGCATGAGGTACGGCCAAAGACACCGTGTTACAAAAAACAACTATATCCAGGAATTAGCAGAGAGGACAAATGCAGAGCGTCGCTGCAGGTGTTCTGGAAGGTTTTCCCTCTATTCTGTGCTTCTAAATGTTTTTCTGCATTTTGATCCCACTAATAAAACTAAAGAAATATAAATAAATACACCGGTTGGCAGCAGGCCTTGTCTGTACTGGTTGAAGTCTAATGTCTTCCTCAAAGCACTTTAAATAAATCTACAGATA